AGACTTCCTGCTGCCCTCAGGGGAGCCAGCCCCGTGGGGAACCAGAGAGAAGGGACGGTGGGAGAAGGCGGGAGAAGGGGTGCTTCTTGTGGGGCCCAAGATTTGGGGGTTGATCTTCCCACAAAGGAGGGGGTAGGTGCTGGCGGAGCCACTCCTGGCGGGGCTCATGGCACCCCATGATCAAACCAGGCCTGGGGTCCAGCCAGGGGTGGCAACATGCAAAGCAAGTGCCTTACTTGCTCTGCTGTGCTTTTGCTCCAGCCCCTCACTTGCTTTTTTTTTTTTTGTATCACACCTGGCATTACACAGGGGTTACTACTCCTGGCTCATGCACTCTCAGGAATTACTCCTGGTGCTTCTTGGGGGACCATATGGGATGCTGGGAATCGAACCCAGGTCAGCCGCCACTAGGCAAACGCCATATCCACTGTGCTATCGCACTTGCTTTTTGTGGTGAGAAAGTCTATTTATCTGGGGCTGGAGTGATGCTTGGGGAGGGTGCTTGCCTTGCATGCAACAACCCGGGTTCAATCCCTGGGATCCCCTAGGGTCTCCTAAAGCACCGCCAGGAGTGATTTCTGAGTGCAGAGCCAGGAGTAACTCCTGAATATCGCTGGGTGTGACCGAACCCTGCCCCCCCAACCCCCCAAAGTCTATATATTTTTTCAGAGAATTTGTAAAGGAACAGAGAGCCCTCAGAAAGACTCAAGGAGGTGACAGGGGTTGAAGGAGGGATGGAGAAGCCCCTTGCGGCCAAGGAAAATCTTCAGGAAGGACGCAGTGGGACTGACACCATCACTGCCCCTGCCTTGTCCTTCTGAGTCTCAGTTTTTCCCCTGTCCCCAAAGGTGGTCAGAGTAGCTCAGAGAACTGTAGCTCTGTGGAAGGCTCCAGGTCCCCTGGAGGGTGGAAAGGGGGGGTCCATCCATCCTGGATGGGAAGAGAAAGGGGGGTGTCAGAGCATCTCTCCCCAGGCCCAGCACCCCAAGGAAGGAGAGCGGCTGGAGGAGGGAGAGGTGAGCACTGCACAGGCTCCCCCTCCAGGAAATTAGCCACGGGAAATCTATTTCCTCTAGCTCATGCCTTAGTGCCCGCTCAGAGGGTAGGACACGGAACGCCCAGCTTCTGGGGTCAGGGAGAAAGTACAGCAGGGAGTCATTTGTCCTGCACATGGCCATCCCAGTTTGGTCCCCAGCATGCATAGTCCCCTGAGCACAGAGCCAGGAGGAGCTTCTGAGCACTTCTGGGTCTGATCCTCCCAGTCACTCATAGAACCACAGTTCTTGGGTCAGTTCAGGGGTTAGGGTATTTGCTTTGCCACTGCCAGCCCAGGTTTGATCCTCAGGATATGCTCCCCTGAATCCCAGTAGGAATGATTCCTGAGCACAGAACCAGGAGTAATAAGCTCTGAGCACTGCTGACTGTGCCCCCTCCCAACAAAAAAAAAAACTGACTTCTTTTTTTTTAAATTTTTGGGTCACACCTGGCAATGCACAGGGGTTATTCCTGGCTCATGCACTTAGGAATTATTCCTGGTGGTGCTCAGGGACCATATGGGATACTGGGAATCGAACCCGGGTCGGCCGCATGCAAGGCAAACACCCTACCTGCTGTGATATCGCTCTAGCCCCAACAACTGATTTCTTTTCATGAGAAAAACTCTTTGAGCCACACCCAGTGATTCTCAGAGGTGACTCCTGGCTCTGCACGCAGAAATTACTCCTAGTGGTGCTTGAGGGAACTATAGGGTGCCAAGGGTCGAACCCTGGTTGGCCAAGCAAGCTTCAGCCCACCCAGTGGACTATTGCTCTGGCCCCAAGAAAAAAATATTCTTTTGCTGTCAGAGCAATAGCTCCACGGGGGGGGGGGGGGGGTGAGCAAATGTTTTCCAAGCAGGAGGCCCGAGCTGGAATGGGGAGGAGCCCCGAGGCCCCGCTGGGTGAGGCCAAAAAACCAGAAAAAAGTTTTTTTTTTTAATTGGTTTCCAAATTGGTTTGTTTCTTCTCACAGCTCAGCAGTGCCCATAAATAATAACTGCTTCGATCCTGTACAGTTTAGAGAGGCACTCATGCTCAGACTTCCACATCTGGGGTATTGGAGACACCACCCTTAAACAGAAGGCACGGCTGACTCCCCAAAGGAGGAAAGATTCTCTCTTGGGGTCACAGGTGGCCGGGCAGAGGGGAGGGGCTTTGAGTGACTTGATCTGGGCGTGGTGGGGTTCAACCCAAAGCGAGGCGAACCTGGATTGCAATGTTCCATCCAAAATAAGCTTCCTCCCTCCCTTCTCCCCGGGATCCAGTCTCACTGTGGGCATGGGAGGGGCCCCTGCTCTCTGTGGGGTTGGGGAACCCCACAGTGGGAAAGATTTCCCTGCAGGACCCAGGCCTGATCATCAGGAGTCAACTATGGAGCAAATCCATCCATCCTGCCCTTTTCTTTTTTAATTTTTCCTTTTTTTCGGGTCAGATCCGGCGATGCACAGGGGTTACTCCTGTGCTCAGGAATCACCCCTGGCGGTGCTCAGGGGACCATATGGGATGCTGGGTCGGCCACGTGTAAGGCAAACGACCTGCCCACTGTGCTATCGCTCCAGCCCCCATCCTGCCCTTTTCACTGCTTTCCCCCCGCCCGTCCACCTGTTTCCCTAGGGCCCCACAGGGTTTGAACTAAAAGTGGGGTATTGCCTTTCCAGTGGAGAAGGAGCCTGCGTGAGGAGTGAGGCTGGCCACATTTGCGTGTGTGTGTGTATGTGTGTGTGTGTGTGTGTGTGTGTGTGTGTGTGTGGTGGGCATGCTCTGTGGTTCTTAGGACCACTCCTGGCAGTGTTTCAGGGCCCATGGGGTGCTGCCTATGGAAGCAGCTTTGGCATACAGAGCCTGCCCTCCAGCCCTTTGAGCCCTCTCCCTGGCCCAGAACATCCAGACAGACAGACTGACAGGGTGGGGAGCAGAATTCTGGGTAGGAAGGTAAGAAAATTGGACCTAAGAAGAACTGGAGGTAGGAGGTGTCAGCCAAAGCATAAGGAAAAGATTTGTTTTGTTTGGAGGCCACACGTGGCAGTGCTCAGGGCTTACTCCTGACTTTGTGCTCAGAGATCAGTCCTGGCAGGGTTTGGGGGATCATTTGGGATGTCAGATATCGAACCTGGGTCTGCAGCATGCAGAGCACACACCCTATCCTCTGAACTGTCTCTCTGCCCCAAGAATGTCTCTGTGTGTGACTGTTTTGGTTGTTTGTTTGTTTTGGGGTCACACCTGGCAATGCTTAGGGGTTAGTACTGGCTCTGCACTTAGGAATCACTCCTGATGATGCTCAGGAACCATACGGGATGCTGGGGGTCAAACCTGGGTTGGCTGCAAACACCCTACCGACTGTGCTGCCCTCCAGTCCTAGTGACTGGAGTATTTTTTTGGGCCACACCCAGCAGCGATTAGGGCGGCTTACCCCTGGCCTTATGGAAAGAAACCTGGGGGTTGAACCGATGTTGGCTGCATGCAAACCAAGTGCCTTACCTACCATACTATATCTCTCTGGCTCCCATGACCCCTTCCTGTCCAATTATTCTGGAGAAAGGGGGCTCCAGATGGCCCCTCCCTCCATCAGGACCTTGGACAGGTCCCTGAAACACCAGCCTCAGTTTGTCAATTTTGCTCTCCTAGTGAACTCTGTATGGGTTCTTGATTTTCTTTCTTTTTTTGGCGGGGGGGGGGGAGAATCACACCCGGCGATGCACAGGGGTAAGTTACTCCTGGCTCTGCACTCGAGAATTACTCCTGGCGGCACTCAGGAGACCTTATGGGATGTTGGGAATCGAACCGGGGTCAACTGCATGCAAGGCAAAAGCCCTACCCACTGTGCTATTGCTCCAGCCCCTGTAGGGGTTCTTGAAAAGCTCATATTCCGGGCTGGAGTGATAGTACAGTGAGAAGGGCGCTTGCCTTGTGTGTGGCCAACCTGGGTTCGATCCCCGGCATCTCATAGGGTCCCCCGAGCACCACCAAGAATGATTCCTGAGTGAAGAGCCAGGAATAAGCATTGAGCATCGCCAAGTATTGCCCAAACACAACACACACACACACACACACACACACACACACACACACACAGAAAAGCTCATATCTCTCCCTCAGAAAAAGGGTTTAGGATTGGATAATAATGGCAGGATTCAGTATCCTCTTGTAATTATTCCGTCATCATCACTGTTGTTGAGAGCAGGGTGCCCTGGGTTGATGGTGGGAGGCTGGTCCCAGTTCTGTCATGGCCTCATTGCCTTGCTGTGTGTCCTTGGGAGGGTCACTCGGCCTCTCTGGTCCATCCCCATTTCCTTGTCTGTACAGTGACCACATTAGCCAGAGCATGACACGAGCCTGGACCCGTCGAACATGTTTTCAGAAAATGCTTCCAACTAAGCTGATTGAGTGTCTGCAGGGCTGAGTCCATTTCAGCCTCTCTTTGGGGCTGGAACCGGGCATGGAACAGAGACCCTCAAATCTCTGTCTCCAAATATCTGCGGCTTAGACTGTGCCACTGGCCTTGTCCAGGGCCCTTCGCCACTGCTGCAGGAGTTCTGATGAGGGGTGGGGTCAGAGCTGTCGCTTCTCTCTCCCCACAGGTGCCACTAAGAGACCTCAAGCTCTGATCTCCGCAGTGAAGTGTGTGGCTCATCCTTCTGCAAGGCCCGGCCCAGCAGGAGCAGGAAGAACTCGCTCAAGTCTCACTCACCTCCTTTCTGCTTCAGGATCGCCTCTGCAGCAGCACCCACAGGGGCCTCTCCCCTATATGCCCCCTCCACAAATACCCCTTTACTTCATCGCTTCTTGGGGTCCAGGGACCTGATTCTTCCAAAAGCCCCTTATCCTGTTTCAAGCCCTCGCTCGAAACACAGGGACCTCCCACCCCCAGAGTTTCAGTGCCTTCCACCCCACCATTATTCCTACGTGGGCACTGACTTCCTCCATCTTCCACCAATCTCTCCCTCCCATCCCTGCCTACTGACTCATTCCTCTCTCTAAACACGTTCCTCCATCCCACTGCCAACTTTTGTGGGATCCCAACTCTTGCTCAGTTACCCAATTCCTCACTCGGCTCAGTTTGAGTCCACAAACACCTCCTTGACACAGCTCCTTGTTAATCTGCCCATCACCTAACTGGGCCCTCCTTTTCTCCTCCCACTGTCTTCCTCTAGACTCCCCTCTTCCTTGACCACCCTGGATCCCCACCTCTAGGTTCTGCTCCTTGTCTTGCCGGGCCACTGTCTCCCACCATGTTGCCCTGAGCCTCCAAATCGGGGGCTCAGGGGGCCCCATGGCCTCCTGCCCCCAGTCGACCCCACGCCCCTGTGGGCTTGGGGAAGATCCCACACCTCCGCAGCGCTGAGCATGGGCAACCGCACGTGGGAGGGCTGCCACGTGGATTCCCGAGTGGACCACCTCTTCCCGCCGTCCCTGTACATCTTCGTCATCGGAGTGGGGCTGCCCACCAACTGCCTGGCCCTGTGGGCCGCCTACCGCCAGGTGCGCCAGCGCAACGAGCTGGGCGTGTACCTGATGAACCTGAGCATCGCCGACCTGCTCTACATCGGCACGCTGCCGCTGTGGGTCGACTACTTCCTGCACCACGACAACTGGATCCACGGGCCCGGCTCCTGCAAGCTCTTCGGTTTCATCTTCTACACCAACATCTACATCAGCATCGCCTTCCTCTGCTGCATCTCCGTCGACCGCTACCTGGCCGTGGCACACCCGCTGCGCTTCGCCCGCCTGCGCCGTGTGAAGACGGCCGTGGCCGTGAGCTCCGTGGTCTGGGCCACCGAGCTGGGCGCCAACTCGGCGCCGCTCTTCCACGACGAGCTCTTTCGGGACCGCTACAACCACACCTTCTGCTTCGAGAAGTTCCCCATGGAGGGCTGGGTGGCCTGGATGAACCTCTACCGGGTCTTCGTGGGCTTCCTCTTCCCCTGGGCGCTGATGCTGCTCTGCTACCGCGGCATTGTGCGCGCCGTGCGCCGTAGCGTGTCCACCGAGCGCCAGGAGAAGGCCAAGATCAAGCGGCTGGCGCTGAGCCTGCTGGCCATTGTGCTGGTCTGTTTCGCGCCCTACCACGTGCTCCTGCTGTCCCGCAGCGCCGTCTACCTGGGCCGCCCGGGCCACTGCGGCTTCGAGGAGCGCGTCTTCTCCGCCTACCACAGCTCGCTGGCCTTCACCAGCCTCAACTGCGTGGCCGACCCCATCCTCTACTGCCTGGTCAACGAGGGTGCGCGCGGCGATGTGGCCAAGGCGCTGCGCAACCTGCGCCGCTTCCTGGCCAGCGACAAGCCGCAGGAGATGGCCAGCGCCTCCCTCACCCTGGACACGCCGCTCTCCTCCAAAAGGAACAGCACGGCCAAGGCCCTGGCCGCCAGCTGGGGGCCCGCGCCCCAAGCTCGGGGGGATCAGGTGCCCATGAAGACGCTGCCACCGCCACCGCCCCAGGACCAGTGAACCACAATCCCCGCCCAAACCGCAGCAGAGGCCCCGCCCACCCCAAGCCCCGCCCTTCTTAGCCCCGCCCCTGAGCCACGCCCTTTAAGCCCTGCCACCTCCAAGCTCCATCTCTCACTGTCCCCCTCCAGCCTGGTCTGTTGTATGCAAATCGTATGTAAATGAGGGAGTTTTGTAATCCTAAAGTAGAAGAATCCAGGGAAAGATTTCTTGGTCCACCCTCCTCCTTTCCAGTGATGCCCTAACAATTTAGTGCCAGGCCCTGTGCTGGCAGCTGCTAGTGACAGACATGACACGCCCAATACAGGCTCTGTGTTCAGTACAGCACCCCACACCCAAAAGGGTGTTTCATCCAGTCTAAGGTCAGGACTTCCGGGAAGAGACAGAGGAAGCCAGGGAAGTCAGATTTTGGTTGGAAGCTAGCAATGTGCAAAAGCTGCCCCATTCATTAGGTATGGACTGATTCTATCTCAAGGTGACAGGGTCACTTGTCCCAGGCCCCTGGGCCTGAGGAGTGCTGAGCCTGGCAGGAGTGGGGGAGGGGGCTGGTAATTAGAAGAAGGTATAAATTCCTTCGTTACACAGAGATTCGTTTGCACTAACTCTGCTAAACCCAGAGCTGGCCAGGCTTGGGGACTTGTCAACAGACTATGACAAGGACAGCCTCATGGGGCTCTCACTGAGTGGGCCAACACTGATGTGTGGAATTGGTAAGTGTAGCAGGAAGAAGCCAGTGGGGGGTCCGGGTCTGATTTCAGCAAGGTGGGACAGGGCATAGCTTTACCCAGTAGGTGGCATCTGGGCTCAGACCTCCAGGAGGGAAGAGCCCTGTGTCTGCAGGGGGGAGGGCACTGCAGATAGAGGAACGAGAGTCATGGGCACTGGTAAAATGCCTGGGTCTTGAGACCTAGAGATTAAACAGGAGCTGCAAGGGGCCTGGAACAGAAGAAGGAAGCTATTTGACTTGTGTTAAAAGCGCAAGGGGTACTGTTTGCTGAGTGAGGGGGGCTAGGAGGGCAGAATTTGGGACAAAAGGACTAAAGCTGGGAGCCCCTCAAGAAGGTGGAGGCGAAGGGCAAGGAAGTGAGGAGGTGAAGAGGAGAGGAGATGCTGGCATCAGACCAAGACAACAATGGTAAAGTTAGCCTGGTCTGATGGCCAGCTTTGGTGTGTATTTAGACAGAAAACTCTGATGGAAGAAGCGCCAAGGGAGGGTTGTATCACATGGAACCTTGGCCCATCCTGGGAAAAGGGTGCCCAGGGGGCCTACACTGAATGATCCCAGGCTCTACTTGAGGGCGGTCACCAGAGAGGCCAAGCCACTAGGTCAGGGCAACACAGCCAGTGAGTCAGCCCTGGAGCCCTCCTGGCCTCCCTCCCTCAGCTGTCTGTTCCCACGCCACAGAATGGCCAAGGCTCAGGGCCCTGGCCCTGTGGGGTCATTTGCAGAGCTGGAGGAAGGCTGTGCCCCTTTGGGTAGGTAACTTTGCTTCCTGCCTCCCTCTGCAGATGTATACTAGGATCTGAGTTTCTTATGAGGTATGGGGGTCACTCTTCTCGCTCGCTCTCTCTCTTGCCTTAGAAGAGGTTCCTGGAATCCCTGCTCAGAGAAAGGAAGAGGAGGAGGAGGGGCAAGAGACTAAAACCAACTTAATGAGAAAAATAGTTTTGCAGAAGGGCGGGAGAGTTCCTGGCATGCCGGAAATTGGTGCTTCAGTGGTATTGGAGGGACGGAAAAATAAAATCGACCGGGGATATGAGGGCATTTCCTGGTCACCATAACATAAAGCTACTTGGAGGAGGTGCAGGGGGACAGAGCCAGCCCCTCTGGAGAATCGAATGAAAGAATATCGGTCCTCTACCAAATATTCCTTCCCATTCATTCAATAAATATTTATTAAGGACCTACTGTGTGCCAGGCACTGTTCAAGGAGTTGAGGAAACAGCAGCGAATTTACTGAAAATTGGCAATTGGGAGATTTTGCTTTTTGAGCCACGGCTGCTCGTGTGGGGGGTGTGGGGGGGAGAGCACATGATTTGGGAGATCAAACTGAGGGCTCCTGCATGCCAAGCTTCTGGCCAACCGTCTGAGCCATCTCTCTAGCTCTGGAACCTCAGTCCATCACTGGGGAATAGCTGCCCCCCAGTAGGTCCTTGGGTTTCCAAGAGCAGAAAATTCTGGGTTGGTTCGGATAAAATCTCATTCTTAGTTCCATGCCAATTATCTCTGGAACTTTGGATAAATTCTTTCCAGCCTCTTCTTTTGTTCCTTTTTTTTTTTCTGCTTTGGCACACACCCGGCAGTGCACACGGGTGATTCCTGGCTCTGCACTCAGGAATTACCCCTGGCAGTGCTCAGGGGACCATATGGGATGCTGGGAATCGAACCCCAGTCGACGGCGTGCAAGGCAAACGCCCTACTGCTGTGCCATTGCTCCAGCCCCTAGCCGCTTCTTTTGTAAAATGGTCAGGGAACTGGTCCCATGAGAGATTTTGTATTGTTTTGTTTTGGGGGGAGGGTCACACCTGGTGATGATCAGGGCTTACTCCTGGGTCTACACTCAGGAATTACCCCTGGCAGTGCTCGGGGGACCCCTAAGCCAGGGATTGAACCTGGGTTGGCTGAGTGCAAGGCAAGTGCCCTACCAGCCGGGCTATCTCTGCAGCCCCTCCCATAACAATCTTGATGAAAAACCTTGAATCAGCCCCCAGATTCCCTCCTCCCAGTTTTGGTCCAGAAGTAATCCTAAGGAAAGGGGAGGAGGGTTCTTTTTTTGTTTTTGTGTTTTGAGTCACTTCCGCAGTGCTTAGGGGGCTATTCCCAGCTCACTGCTTGGATGATCACACAATGCTGGGATCCAGCCTAGGCTTTCTCTGTGTGCAATGTGTGTTCAGCTGGTACAGTTCTCGTGCAAGCCTGGAACAGGGTGTTTTTATGGATCTTAGCATCTTAGACATTTCGACTATCTGTATTTTTTCTGATTTTGGCCCACACCTGAAGGTGCTTAGGGCTTATTTCTGGCTCTGCACTCAGATTAGGCTCACAACCATATGTGGTGCTGGAAATTAAACTTGGGCTAGCTGGGTGCAACAGTACAACCCTACTTGTACTATTGCTTCAGCCCCATTTAGACGATCTACTAGGGGTAATTTTTTTTCTAGATTCTTTGCCATTCCAGATGGAGAAATGGATGCCCATCAGCGCTGAGTCTAGACAAAGGATGCTCAGGATTCAGAGAAATGCCCTGTATGGCCCCCCACCCCATTTTCCTCTTCCCCACCAACTGCGCCTTCTCTGCTCCCTCAGAATCTCCACCAGCACGCCACCATCCAGGAATTTCTCTCCACCCCTTCCTGACCTTGTTTATATGATTTAGCTCCCTGCTGGGTAAAAAGGACAGTCTGGGACATGTTCTTTAACTCCTTCTGGAGCCAGATCCCTGGGGACCCTCACCCCCCAGTGGAGGAAGCAGGGAGGTTTGAGAATGGGTGTAATTTCATTATCCAAAAAGCTGGACTATCAGCCTCCTAAGGCGGAGGGGCCTGTGCCAGGTCCTTGTCCCCTCTCTGTGCCTCAGTTTCCCTGTCATTTAGAGAGGGTTGGGTCAGCGGCTCTGGATGTCTTCCCAGGGCAACAATGGAATTAGCGTGAACCCCACGTTCCACCCTGTATACTAATAAGCTGTTGACGGTGTGCTTGTCATGGCTGTAACTGGCAGCATCCTAAGCCGCTGACACGGTTGATGGCGCAGTTGTACCTCCCGATTCAGTTGCCAACCTCAGCAATGGCCACAGCAACGCGATCAAGTGCTGCTCTGATGCCCGTTTTGGGGAGGGGGCGACGGCGGCCGAGAAGTCTACATCACTGGCGAGTGAGTGGCGGGAGCCGAGATGCCAGCCCCGCCGCGCGCACTCCCAGTGAGAGCGCCAACCTGCTGGGGATATGTTACTCGAGCTCCATTAGCCCTAATTAGGAATGATGAAGAGCGCCGGGCGGAGGCACCACCTGGGTCCGTGACGTCACGAGGACACGCGGTGACAGCGCGGCGGAGGGCGTGGGAACGCCGGCCCGCTCCCGCCAGCGGCCGTTTAACGGCGCCGCCTCGCTTCCGCCCAATTTGCATATGACGCGGCGCCAGCGTCGACGCGGTGACGTCAGGGCGCCCCTGCAGGGCGGCCGGGCGGACGCTCGCGCCGACGTACGCACGCACGCACGGCGCGGGCGGGCGGGGGAGGAGGCCGAGCCCGGCGCGCCCCGCCCAGTCAGGAGGGCAGCGCGTGCCCGTGCGACCGCCAAGATGGTGGTGGGCGCGTTCCCTATGGCGAAGCTGATGTACCTGGGCATCCGGCAGGTCAGCAAGCCGCTTGCCAACCGCATTAAGGACGCGGCCCGCCGAAGCGAGTTCTTCAAGACCTATATCTGCCTCCCGCCGGCTCAGCGTGAGTCTGACCCCACGTCCCCCCAGCCCTGCCTTCCTCTAACCCCTCTCAGGTGGTTGCTCAGCGGACGGACTTCTGCTAGGGACCAATCACGGCCCGAACCGGCGAAGTCCTTCAGCCTATAGGGAGAGTTTCTGGCGAGAGGGGCATGTGGAGAGCCCAATAGAAACAGCGAGTGTGCGTCAGGGGCGGAGCAGGACGCAGGCTCCCGGTTAGTGAGTATCAGCCAATAGAGGAAGAGAGCGCGTGGAGATTGACATCGTGGCGAGTCAATAGCGTGCGGGACCGGAGCAATGTGGGCGGGCCTTCCAGCACTGAGAGGCGCTTGGGGCGGGGTAGAAGAGCGACTGAAGGGGTCGTTTGACTGGCCAATCCGTGGGCTCTTCTGCTTCCCAAACGCTACCCAGTGACTCATTTTCCCTACTCTACTAGAAGGCAGGAGTGCTCGCAAATTATCTTTTTATGCCCCAGTTTTACTCCGGGAATTAGGCCTCAGTTCAGGGTACGGCTCTGGGCAAAGGTTGGGATCCGGGGGTATGACCTGAGACTCTGGCAAAATAAGTCATTTTAACCAGAGTTAAATTTTAACCAGCAGCGCATTCAGTAAATAGACGGTTTTAGGCTTTGGGCTTGGCACTGGGAGACACAGTTGTGACCTGGAGTGGTGAAAGTGGCAACTCCAGAGCTCAGACTGCCTGACTCGGGGCATGAAGTCTGGAAGGCTGCCTGGAGGAGGGCCACCGGCCCAGAGATAGGAGTAAGCTTCATACATGGACTCCTTGAAAAAGTACTTCAATGACATAGGCTTTTGCAAGCGCAGAATAAAGGGCAATTTGCTTATTAGGAGAACCACGATTCATTCATCCAGTATTTATTTAGCTAGTTTTTTAATTTTCCTTCTTTTCTTCCTTCCATCGTTCCTTCCAACAGCAGTGTTTGGGGCTTACACCTGGCTCTGTGCTCACACCTGTTGGGGTTCTGGGGACTATATGGGATGCCGGGAATTGAACCAGTTCCGTCATGTGGAAGGCGGGCACCCTACATGTACTACCACTCTGGCCTGCTTAGCATTTTTGAGCTTCCTCCCTGGGTGTGGAGGACAGGTGGTCATAAATGAGTGAGGAAGGAACTGAGTGGAAAAGCCAAATTAAGGGGAGTGCATAAGGGGCTGGAGCGACAGCACAGAGGGTAGGGCGTTTGCCTTGCATGCGACCAACCCAGGTTCCATTCCTAGCATCCCATATGGTCCCCCAAGCACTGCCAAGAGTAATTCCTGAGTGCAGAGCCAGGAGTCACCCCTGTGCATCACCGGGTGTGACCCAAAAAGGAAAAAAAAAAAGGGAGGGTTGTGCATAGCCCCCATCCTGAAACTTTGGTATTTCCAATTTGCTTTCTATTGCTTAGAATTCTTGGTGCTTTGGTGTTTGGGGGCCAGGGCGCTTTTTGCCCAAGCTGCCGATCTTGGGGTGGAAAAGTGTTAAGTGTAGTATCTTCAGAGAGAGAGTGCAACCAATACGGTACTTGCTTTGCACATGGCCAACCCGGGTTCAGGCCCCATCACCCTATATAGTCCCACGAGCTCCACCATGAGTAATTACTGAATGAGGAGGCATTGTAAGCCCTGAGCACTGCCGGGTGTGGCCCCCAAAACCAAACAACAGATAAGTGGTGGATTTACCAGGAATGCCTTGTCACCTGTTTGGCATTTCCCTGATACCAGGGAGGGACAGAGGCTTCCCAATGGATAGAAGATTGAGGCCACAAGGACAGAGGGAAAGGGGTCACACATAGTGTCTGTGCCAGAGACAGGACTGGCATGCCCCGTACTGCCACCCCGCACAAGGAGGCCCTCGAGCAGGCCCCGGGAGCCCTCTTACCTTCAATCTCTTCTGCCCGTGTTCATGAGCTTTCCCTGTGCCACACAAAGGGGCACCAGTTCTGCTGGCATTAATCCGTCTCCTCTTAATCTCCTTTTGGGGTGATCCCATGGCAGCATATAAGTTAGGAAAGGAAGTAAGATGTGTGGTGAGAGCTGCACAGTCAGCCAACTCTTGTGGATGAAAATAGAAAAGAGGGGCTGGAGCAATAGCACAGCGAGTAGGGCGTTTGCCTTACACTCGGCGAGCCAGGTTCGATTCCCAGCATCCCATAGGGTCCCCCGAGCATACCTGGAGTATGCACTCAGAGCGAGGAGTAATCCCTGTGCATCACCGGGTGTGACCCAAAAAGCGGAAAAAAAAAAAAGAAAAAGGCTACCAAAGAAAAATCTTGTCCTGGGGGACCTTCCTTTCTTGCCTGGTGGGGAGGGAGCAAGAAGCAGATGGGACTGTGAGGTGAGCACTGGGACAGGAGGAGGGGAGGTGTCGACCTGAGAAAGGTGACAGTGCTCATAGTCATTCACCCCTGGCTCTCCCTTCACAAGGCACGCAGATGCAGATTTTACAGGATTCCCTGTTATTATGGTCTCTTTAGTGGGGGACCGTGCCGGAAATGGAGGTGGGGGCTCCACACTCACAGGCAGGCGCCCTCCTGCTGGGTCCTGAGTGCCCAAGGGTCAGGCCTTGCATTCATGTATTAGTTTTTTTTTTTTTTCATTTGGTGCCACGGATCATGGCAGGGACAGCGATGGCATGCATTCACTTTACCTTACCCCCTGGACTATCTCTTGGCCACGGGTTTTGCATTGAAAACTCGTTAATATGCAGCAGGGCTGGACTGTCTGAGACCCCACCACAGTCCTTTATGTGCTTATGGGGGACTTGTAAGGGCCCCCATATCTGATCTCTGGGCTGTACCCCAGGCAAAAGTTTTGTGTCCATGAAGCCAGAGCGATAGCACAGCATGCAAGCCATAGTGCCTTGCACAATGCCAACCCAGGTTTGATTCTCGACATCCTGTATGATCCCCTCAGCACCACCAGGGGTAATTTCTAAGCACAGAGCCAGAAGTAACCCCTATGCATCACCAGGTGTGATCCCCCTCAAAAAAAGACACAAAAAATAAAAGTTCTCTGTCTAGTTCTCTCTCTGTCATCTGAGTGTGGAGATGGGTGCACTTCACCTCCGTCCCTCCGCCACCATTGAGGCTCAGGGGCCCCACAGGGCAGCATGCCTGGCTTGGCTTGTGCGCTCTTGGCAGTGCCTACGCCTGTCCCCTAGTCTGTCCCACGACCTTGGGTGGCCTGCCTGGAGCACCCCATGCCAGTGCATTCCTTTGTTTGTGTGGGCCCTGGGACCCACACACACCCTCTCTCTTCCTCTTGGGCAGGAAAACGCAGCAACCATAGGGGACGAAGAGTCAGTGGGATTTTCCATGAGCTGGGTGGCAGCAGCTCCTGAGGTTCAGGGTTTGATGGAGAAACAGCGACCCCCTCTCTACCCCATGGCCGCTGCCTTGCTCCGCTAACCCGTCCCACTGCCCCCAGCCCGCCCGCTGCCACTTCCCCGCCTGCTCTTCATGCTTGCCTGGTCCTGCCTGACCTCCACACCCAGCGCCCTGCCCTTGACCGGGGCTCCTTGTCCCTAGCAGGGTGGCTCCTCATAGGGGAGCTGGAGCAGGGGAAGGTCTTGTTCTCTGATTTGATTCACCTACTCGAAATCCAGTTTATTTTCTGTGTGTGTGGGGGGGGGCAGAGGGGAGTGCGGGTCGATTCAGTGAGTGTGATTACCTTTTTTTCCCCTCTTCTTTTGAGTTACACCCTGCAGTGCTTCAGGGATTACTTCATGCGTTGCACTTAGGAACTCTCTTGGTGGTGCTCAGGGACCGAACCTGGGTTGGCCACATGCAAGACAAATGCCCTTCCCACTGTTCTATAGCTCTGGCTGCGTGTGATCCACTATTTTGGGTGGTGGTTTATTTTGTTTTGTTTTGGGGTTACCCAGCAGTGCTCAGGGATCACTCCTGGAAGAGCTCAAGGGATTCCGTGGTGTCACAGGTTGACAGTGTGCAAGGCAAATGCCCTACCTGTTGTCCTGTGGCTCTGGCCTCCAAAGCCTCTGCCTTTTCTTTTTCCCCCCATAATGTAGGGCTGGAGTGATAGCACAGCAGTAGGGTGTTTGCCTTGTACGCGGACAGCTGGCCAAGCCGGGTTCGATTCCTCCGTCCCTCTCGGAGAACCCAGCAAGCTGCCGAGAGTATCTCCCCGGCACAGCAAAGCCTGGCAAGCTCCCCGTGACGTATTCGATATGCCAAAACGCAGTAACAACAAGTCTCACAATGGAGACGTTACTGGGCCCGCTCGAGCAAATCGATGAACAACGGGAGGACAGTGCTACAATGTAGGAGTACTGCTATTTATTCACCCATTGATTAAGCTAATTAAATTGGGCATGAACGCTACATTACTTTTTTATTCTGAATGTTAATTTTATTTATTTTATTATTATCACCCCCCCCCCCCTTTTTTTTGATTCCCCGTGAGATACAGATATCTTTGAGCTTCGGTCATACAATCATCAAACACTCATCTCTTCACCAGTGCACATTTTCCACCACCAAAATCCCCAGTATTCCCCGCCCCCCCCCCCCGCACCCCCGTTCCAACCCTTCCTCTGCCAGTGTGGCAGACAATTTCCCCCATACTCTCTCTCTCTACTTTGGTTACATTTACTATTTCAACACCAGTCTCGCCACCACTCAGACCTGCCGAAAAGGCAATGCTAGACAATTTGTTTTGTATTCCTTGTTATGGATATAATGTCCAGGAAATTCTGTGTCGTTCTCTTCCGGGAGCTTTAGTTTATAGTCTCTGGGTATTGTCCATTGATGAGATTACATGGCGCCGGGGCAGTTTGTGGGTGTGACTTCCAAGCTGCTGGCAGCTGCTGCCTTTTGAGGCCCTGTGTGGAGGAGCTAACATTTCATGCGAGCATCATGGCTCCATGGCTCTGACCTCCATGATTCTCTCCCTCGCATGGCTCCACGGGCTCCCTCACAAGCCTGGGAGCTGCCCGTGGTTTTCGGGTCCCACAGACAGAATAGATGCCTTTTAAAATTTCTCA